TTAAGACATCCGAGCTCATTTGTTGAAGATTAATCAATAAAAATTCCAGAAAAAAAATGAACAACAATCAATACATAAACGTAGGAGAAGCGAATCAGAAAGCGAAGTACAAGTTTCAACCCCAAAGTATTTGAAAAGAAGAAGTGTGTCGATGAGTGATGATATTATACTACGTAGATCAGCTAGAGAAAGTAGACCTCCAATTAGATTCAGATTTGAAGATTTTTGATTTTGTAAATTAGTAGTAGATAATCAAAAAAGGGGAAAATGTTGCATATCTAGATATAATAATATCGATCATATCGTTTATACCGAATCCCTACTGATGGGCTTGGCAAAGGTCAAAGCTGACAATCCTCTACACATGTAAAACAGTGCACTATATAAGAGCTCCCCACTATTGTTAAACGCTCTTTAATGTTCAACCATCGAGCTATCAACAACTGTAAATTATTTTAATAAAGTATAAACCTAACCTCTGAGTTAATTGAGTGTCCACGAAATCCGAAAACCATAACACCACGAAGGTGACACTCTGTTTCGGCCAGATCTGGCATCGTGCCATTACGCAAAACAGGTGATGGAGTGGTACAAAGCCAACGATGTTGTTTTTGTGCCGAAGGAGGCAAATTCGCCAAACTTGCCAAACCTTCGCCCAATAGCGAAATTCTGGGTGATTATGAAGGGCAAGCAACTTGACGATCTTGAGGGGACACGGGTGGGGTAGGTGCTGCTACTGTACCTTTGGACCAATGACAGTAATTGATGGTATGCTCCCATCCAGAGTTATATACTTTGACTATATGTTTAGTATTACTTCTGCGTGAAATCAACAATTTACGATTTCCCCTTATAATTTCCAAACCTACGACTGGATGCCTTCCTTCAAATAACAACTGGAGTGCGGTAAAAAATGGTAGAACTGTTTCAAACACATCGTAGGTATTTGAGCGGTCGGCGATCATCTCTTTTTGCCTGTGGTGGCGGGAGGACACCCCTCACCATCCCTCTCCAAAGGGGGAGTTTGGTAAAGAGAGATGAAAAAACCGATTTGTACCTTCCTTAAAAAGTTGTCCTAGCTCGCTGTCTACTCTCTATATGCAATTTTCACACTGCCGTACTCTAAATGGAATTATCGATTCTATACTTTCATCTCCTCCTCATCTATCGTATAAAAAATTACCACTTCAGTCTGTTATTTGAAATTAGCATCTTCAACAATGTAAATCGTTGACTTCACGCAGAAGTAATACTAAACATATAGTCAAAGATTTTATGTGTCAAACATATACTTCATGACCTATTCTTGTAACTTACAAGTACTAATTAGCATTATACTATATCATGATCTCATAATTCAGAAAAACATTTTTTATAGCAAGTGAGCGGAAGTAACCCTGTCTGAGAGTTTCAAAAATATCCGACATAGAATGAATTTTTGGAGATCATTTTTGTATGTTGCATTTTTTCGAGCACAGCAACGAAATGTCAAACTAAATGTGACGTCTAGTTTCGTCGTATAACCACAAACGAAGTTACAGCTCGAAATTTGATTCGACCCACTTACAGTTGAAATTTTCGAGTGTACCTCACGGCAACACTATCTACTCATATGTACTCGCTTAAAGTAGTTGAACAGCATGTCATTATGTCGTTTTCTTTGTTTTGTATAATGAAAGACCATAGACCTTTTTAACGTTTAATTGCCTTTCTCTATCTAGCACACATGGATGAATTCACTGTTTGTTTTCCCACTAATCTGTTTCCCTCTTGCTCGCACTCGATCGATTTAAATGGTGCAGTAGTGTGCGCGGATTAAACGTAAAACAGCTCTATAGGCCAAAATGATTGGGGGTGAAAACCAGCGTTGCCAGGTCATTTTCAGAAAAATCTGGACCAGATAAAATATAAAATCTGGAATGCTCCACAAATCCTGTTTTTAACATAAAGCCATTGAAATCAAAGTGATGTGCCAATCTCTCGTGAAAATCGGCCAGTATGATCATCAGGAATTATTTAAAGTACTAGAATGGTTATGAATTACATGTTTGAATAAATTATATAAAGCAAATAACTTGTTAGCATTGCTAAATCATCCAAAAGTTGAAAAGTGTTGACGCAGTGTGCCCAAAAAGTTTAAATATCCATTAAGCAGCAGTTCAAAAATTGAATGAAATGTAGGTAAAGCACTGCAGAAAATATTTTTAGAATTTTTTTTTAACTGTAACTTTTTTTAAAAAGAATGAGAAGCAAACAATTAAGAAAATTTGATGGAATGTATTTTTTTTAAACTTATAGTCGATGTAATCCTTACTATTTGATGCAGTACCAGAATATAAAGATTTTTTTTTTATTTCTTTATAATAACTTATATTACCTTGACGTTGATCAGATTTACAATTTAATTCTTGACATCATACAACACACAACACCCAATAAATCAATAGGCAATTTTATTTTGAAGCAAAATTCACCTGGCTGAAGTCGGAATCAATGCCTAACATCGTTGTACTCACTCAAAGTTTACCTAAACTACGGGTAACTCCACTATTCGCAGCAATAATTTTATGCCACAGAATAATTTTATTATATTACTAAAATGAAAGTCTGATAGCGTCATTTTTGAAGTTTCAGGATCTTGAAATTAATATAAAATCCGGAATTTCTATTTTTCCTGGATCCCAGATCATGAAAATTTTGGTTAGTCTGAATTTTCTTGGAACTCTTCACAGGATATCTTCTCCCTTTTTTTTCGAGTTCCATTGGAATGATCCTAGAATTTCATCATACTTTTTTCCGGATTCCCCTAAAATAATCTTGATAATATCCAAACTCTCTTGTAATCTCTTATAAATTACTCTCCAATTCCACAATTCCCTCAAACTGGTAATAATGCCCAGGAATTGGCTTAATTTTGTGCCCATTTTTCCTTATGAAATTCTTAAAATATTCTTAATAATTTCCTAGGTGCACTCTTCAGAATGACCGTCACACTCTTCTCAGACTTATCCGATAATTCCCTTTGAGCTGCTTTGTAGGTATGGTCAGAATTGTTTTGAAATCCTCTTCAGTATTTCCTAAGTACTCAAGTTCTTTGCCAAAATTGCCTTGAAAGTCTCCCAGAAATTGCGCATAATTCCGGTAAAATGTCTGAAAATTTTATTAATGAATCTTCATAGATACATTGCACAGAATTCAATTGAAATTATTCTCACGATTCGCATACTCCTTAAGTTTCATCATACAAATTTTCTTTGATTTCTCTTCCGGATTGTATTTCCTATATTCACAAAATCTCCATGCACTTGTCATCAGAGTTGACAAGACAATTGACACCGTCTTGAACCAGAGCTTGTACAGACTGAATATTTAACGCTAGACAACGGACAACACACCACACCCAGTAGACCAGTAGGGAAATTTTCAGGTTGCCAAAATTTGCACCGGCTGGAGCGCGAATGCCCCTCACCCTCACTTCGTGGCACTCACAGTACGCCTGAACAACTGGTGACGCCGCACGACCACGAAGTTATCCTTTGATTTCACAAGGAATTCGCCCCACACTTCACTGTGAACTATTTTCAGAATTACCTTAAACTTCCAAAAATGTCCTACGTTGATGCCCTTTAATAATTAAAGTAGCAAGTTTGGATTTTGATTTTTTTTACTAGAGTGTAAATCAGTTGCAGTGATGCAACATGTTTAAAAAATCTGGGAAAATCTGGAACATATTTAAAAAATCTGGAAACATGCGTGGTCTGTCTGTGACAACTGTGGACAACTAAAAATCTGGAAAAGAAAGATAAATCTGGAATACTGGCAACGCTGCTGCCAACAGCTGTTTCGTGTAAAAGGATAAACATTGCAATGAAATACGAACACCACTAAACATTTGCACATTTCACTAACACCAATAAACCTGTTGGCCCAGACCTTATATAAAGGACATTGACCTTTGATTGCATTTTGGTAGAGGGTGTTCAATTTATCCAAGATTATCCAGTAAAAAATACGATATTCACAAACGTGTTCATCCCTATTCCTTCAAACAAAGCCTTGATTATCATCGCAGGAAGACACTGTGCAAAGGATTCCCTGGACTTTCTCTTCAACAACAAAAACGCTTACAAAAAGAGCGAGAAATTTCTCATGATATTAGCAATGCTATTCTTGGTGGCGTCTCAATTTTTACTTAAATGTTGATTGTGGCTGGTTGGCGCGATGCAGTCAGTAGCGTTTGGCGCCAACGGGTTTTACGACTGCAACGCCGTGCCGGTCGTCGATCCTCACGCGTATCTACGGTTTCCCTCCTTTTTTTCACACAAAAATCTATAAATCTTACGACTGCGACTGCCTCCGGTTCTCGCCTTTTGTTATTTTGCGGTTCAGAAGATAATTTCTTGCCGTCCCCTCGTCCCCCAAGGTACTTGGGGTTTCGATTCCGATAGTCGGATGCGGTTCCTGCTAACTACTATCCTACTCAATTTCTTCCCAGGACGTAAGGAAATGGAAAGTTTGTGCAAGATGGTGGCAGCAGAGTGTTTTTTTCCTTTGTTCGAACAAATCCTGAATCGGGATGAATCGGGGTGAGGGCAGGAGAGTTAAATCGTGACACCATCAGGAGCGATGATTTTTTTTTTGCGGGTGAACGGAGTTGCAAAATTAATGGAGTGTTAAGTGCATAGATAATTCTTTTTCCTGTGAGGCTCTGGGAAATTTTTCTTACATCCATGAGCTGGAACTTTACGCCTGCTCTTAACTTAATGTTCTTGAAGAATTTCCACATTGGTTAGCATAGAGATAGATTTCTGTATTAGTCACACCCCGACTGGAACTTTGAGTTTGCAGCTACCCTCGACGGTTGCTAATTGTCATTAGTTGTTGAAATATACAATTTAATTTGTTTCCTCGATTGCAACATGAGCAAAGGTAACGTGTACGGATTGTCCCATACTCAGAGATTTACTGCCAGCAGTAGTAACAGAAACAGCGCCATAAACCTATGCCTTACCGTTATCAAAGAAACAGGTGAACTAACTTTTGGCCATTTGTCTACCATTTCCATAGAAGTCCATATCTTATCGTACGATCCACATATTTATCTTTGCAATTTACATCCAATATACAGTATTTTCCCTCGTGCATCCCAGTCTGCGTATCCCCTGAAGATATACTTTATACTCTAATATCCTGTTGCTATATTTATATAGGTATATGTTTGTGATAACAAAAAAGAACTTCGCACTCGTGTTCCGCATTGTTCTAAATTTTAGAGCAGATTTTGTCCCCTGTTGCACCTAAATGTAGAGAATTAGTGTCTAAGAGCCTACCATTACACAATTATGAACCTTGTGTATGTGTGCACCGTCGGTCGTCGTCCTGTCGCGCCGCATTCAGTCAACAGCTAATGCCGTTGGCGATAAATCGCGGACCAACTGGTTCCCAGAAGAACGACCACCAATCGCCAAAGAGCCAACTCTGCAGTGGCTCGACCTGCTGCGTTACTTCCCTCCAGACTGCCGTCGGCCCCTCGCACCGATGGAATGACGAACGGTTTTCTCGTGCCGATGTCATTCATCAAAGCTATCAGATTTTTATTGTTACCATTACTGCTGGCCCCGTTGTTGTTGTTGTTGTTGCTGCCGCTGCTGGTTCGACCGTTGATACTGTTCGGATGGTCCAGCGACCCAAACGGAGACCGGGCCGTCGGCTTGCCCCCATGCTGCTGCTGCTGCTGCTGATGATGATGGTGATGCTGATGGTGCTGCGTCGAGTCGATAATCTCCTCAAAATCTTCCGCCGAACCACCGTACTGCTGTTCCTCATCGTCCGGGGGATAGGACAGTTTCGGTTTGCTAGATTTATCGCCACCACCGCCACCGGGCTTCACGATATCGTTCTGATCTGTTCCGTGCTTGGGCACGTAGAACTTGCGATTCGGTTGCGGGATTTCTGAAATGGATAAGGATAATTTGGTACTATTAGATCCGGATGCTGGACGGGTACGAGAAGCTGCTGAACCCTACGGTTTAACTGCTTTGTATTGTCTCAAATTATTCGATTACGTGTTACGCACTGCACAGTAGACCAAACAGACATAACTCTGGCAATTTGTTTATCGAACACGCATTTAACGGTCAATTTAAATGTTTTATTTGGTAGTACCGCCACCTGTGGCGCGCATAGTCAATAACCCTTGCATTTGACGTTTACACACTACCGCCATCTGTTCATTGTACTACCCATAACAGTATACTCAACAGATATGGTTAGTGTTTTAGCGACGATGTTTTAATTGTTGTTTTATATTGAAAATGAACAAATGCACACAATGATTTACTGAACATTTCATAGTACTTATTAACTTTTCTACAGCAGCTTTTCCGATGATATATGGTACAATTACACTTCAAAATGGTGCCAAGCGGTGCATACTAAGGAGCATTTTCAAATGCTTAATGTACAGTTTTCTCTATTTTAGGGAGCGTACTTTAAATATTAACTGAGCATTTTAAGATTTTTAACGTATTTTGATCAATCATTTAAGGAGCAACCCGATCTATTTTAATGAGATTTTTTCACTTATTAAGGATAATTTCATCTGTTTTATTGACCAAAGTAGGACTGCCTTTTCGGAAAGGTCGTTCGACCGTCCACCAGCTGACTCGAGTAACAAACATTCTCAGACGGAACAAGTCTGTGTCGAAAACATCTGTCATGGCGTTGTTGGACGTTGAAAAAGCGTTCGACAATGTCTGGCATGATGGCCTGGTGTTCAAATTGCAGCAGTATGGTCTTCCAATCTTCCTACTGAAGATAATTAACAACTATCTATCGAACAGCACGTTCCGAGTCTCTCTGAGTGGCATCACATCAGATGCTTTCAACATCGGTGCTGGGGTTCCACAAGCAAGCATCATTGGCCCCATTCTATTCAACCTGTTCAACTCCGATATGCCGGCTCTCCCTGATGGTGGATCGTTGTCTCTGTTCGCAGATGACACATCCATCGTCTACAAGGGTAGGGTCATCGGAGCTTTGACTGCCAAACTTCAGAGAGCCGTGGACGTCCTGTCTGAATATTTCAACAGCTGGAAGATCCGTATCAACGCGGCAAAGACCCAGGGTCATCATCTTTCCACACTCAAAATCTCCCAGACTTGTTCCGTCGGTAAGTAATAAGATCTGCCTGAACGGCACAGTGGTGGAATGGTCGAAAGAGGTAGTCTACCTCGGCTTAACACTATACAGCAAGCTCAGGGAGCTTGTTGACAAAACCAAAACCAAGTGTAACGTCCTGATAAGATCACTGTATCCACTCATAAAAAGGAGGTCTACTCTATCCCTGAAAAATAAGCTTGCTGCCTACAAATACATCATCCTTCCCGTAATAGAATACGGGATGCCAATCTGGGAGAGTTGCGCCAAATGCCATCACCTCAAACTCCAAAGGATCCAGAACAAGATTCTTAGGATGATCCTAAACAGTCCCCCGCGGAATAGAAATTCTGAGATTCACCTCCTGGCTGGAATTCAAACGTTAGAAGAACGGAGAGTATTCATCCTGGAAAGGTTCAGAGACACCAACTCATCAGATCTTACGTGATCTAGCACGTTAGGTTAGGTTATACTCGCGCTTCTGCAAGCATTCCTCTCGATAAATCTGCCCGTTTATGGTGCCGGTTGTAACGAACGGCTTGCTGTACTGTCCGCACTCGCAGATCGCCTGCCACAACAGGTACTTCTTGGCGAATTTGTCCATCTTTCTCTTCCGGAACTTTTCCGGAACCTCCATGCGGGACGTACCGAAAAAAAACTCGAGGCCGGGGATTTGCTTGGTGTCTGCCTTGATGTATGTCTCGTCGTCCATGACGAGACAGCCTGGCTTGACCAGCCACTCACGGTTCAGCTTCCGCGCACGCAATTTGGCCACCGTGTTTTGCTTGTCAGTCCGGTTTGGCGTCTTCCTGACCTTAAAAACACGTAGCCCAGCCCGCTTCATGGTCTGCTGGACGAACCACTTCGACGAATTGACCTTTTTGGCCACGTCTCGTTTGGAAAGGTTCAGGTTATTCTTAAAGTACTGCCTTATCTTCCGCGCCTTCTCTGGGTATTCTGTTTTCGGTTTTCGGCCGCTTCCAGCGCGCCGCTCGATGATCTTCGTCTCCTGGAACATCTTCACAACGCGGGACACGGTGGAATGGTGGATTCCAAGCCTTTTGCCGATCCATCTGTGCGACTGACCAGGATTATCGATCACCGCGTAGCTCTTCTTGTTTCGAATGCATCTTGAAAACTACTTGACAGATCGCTATAAAATTTAGCACACATATACATAACACTCTAAACTAGTATTACCCAAAATTTCATTAATTTTTGCCCACCCAAAACAAAGTCGCGCATTTTTTACGAGTCCAGTCTTTAGTTGGGTAGATTTTCAATTTTTTTTTTTCAATTCAAACAAAACGCATCCCCATGGTAAACTAGTTGAAAACGCAAATATTAAATTAGAATATCAAATTAAAGTAAGATGAAGAGCCGGGTAGGCAAATCAATCAAATTAATTGCAGGAAAAATTGCGTTTTGCTGTGGTTAGCTGCGCGCACACTTAGCAGATAGAAAGAAGATTGATGACGATTCTGAAGATTTCCTGCAAAAATATGATGCGCGATGCAAGTAGATGCGAGAAATGAGAGAAGATTTTTCAAAGATTGATTCATTAGTGTGAGATTTGTTGAGATTTAGATGTGGCAGCCCCCTCTTTTCAAGAGTTGGTGAGCAAGCTTCCAGCCACTGGTCTCTTTCCAAACGTCAACATACCAACGTCAACCTCACTACATTTTAGAGCTACATGGACCAGATCATGATGGTCGGTAGTGAGGTGAATTTCCAGAACGAAGCGGACGAGTATCGCAGCAAGAAGGAGAAACCGAAGACGAAGGAGAAGATGTACGTGGAACACGCATGCTGCACAGGAGAATGTCCCTACTACCGAACGTAGGTGGAACAAGCCCAAGCCGTGTGCAGCCTGCCAGAAAGACGGCCACAAAAAGGATAGGCATGCGTTCCGCAAGATGACTCTCGGTGATCGCTGGATACTCGTTTAGGAGCGATTCCTGTGTCGTCGATGCCTGGGTTCTCTTGGATAATTTTTTTGTAAAGCCAGCAACTGTGGAGAGAGTGAGTGTGAAGAGCGCCATCACAAGCTTCTTTACCCCTAAAATCCACAATTATCCCGATCGACTAACCCTCCGAAGACTACAAGCACAGTAACCGTTCATCGTCAGTTCAAGCAAACCGATTTGTACCGGATTCTTTCCGTATTGCTGCATGGGAATGGCAAAACAGTCCAAACAATCGACGATGGTTCTTCTAGGAAGTTGGTGAAATTGAAGGTAGCTGAAGAACTCGGAGTGACCGGTGAGGTACACCCACTCTGCCTGCAGTGGACAAGTGGCATCAAAAGCGTGGAGCTGATAAAATTGCAGATATCGAGGGCAGCTAACGCAACGTGGCACGATTTGAAGGAAGTGCACATCGTCAAGAGTCTGAACCTTCCTGTTCAATCTTTGGACTTCAGTAAACTTTGCAATGAGTTTCAGCATCTTCAAGGGCTGCCAGTACAAAGCTACGCCAATGTTGTCCCTACAATTCTGATTGGTTTGGATAACTCGTTTGTAATGGCAACACGGAAAAGCAGAGAACGAGTCAGAGGAAGCCCAATTGCTGCAAAAACTAGGCTGGGTTGGGTGGCCTACGGGAGCACATCCGCTGGATACGAACGATCGATCCATCAGCTCTTCCATATGTTCGTTCGTTCACCTGATCAAGAGCTCCATGATCTAGTGAAGAAGTTTTTTGTGTTGGAAAGTGCGGAAGTTGTGTCTTCTATGATGGACAGCGACGACGACCGACGTGCCAGGTAAATTCTTTACAGCACAACTGTACGGAAAGCGTCAGAAAGGATCCAAACGGGCTTTCTGCGGAAACGTGATAACGTAGAGTTTCCTAACAGCAGACGCATGGCGGAAAAGAGATTCCGCTGTCTCGAACGTCGTCTTACACCGAAGCCCAACTCATATGAAAATTTGAAGACCCAGATCATCGAGTACCAAGCCAAAGGGTACACCCATAAGATGAGCCAAGAGGAGTCTCGATTCGGACCTGGTTCCTGCCGTTGAACGTCGTTACGAATCAGAGGAAGCCAAACAAAGTACGATTAGTGTGGGATGCGGTAGCTGAAGTCCAGGGACAGTCGTTCAATTCTGCTCTTCTTACTGGCCCGGATTTTCTCGCACCGCTTACAGAAGTTTTGAGTCTGTATCGCCAGTTCGAGGTGGCCATCAGCGCCGATATCTGCGAGATGTTTCACCAGTTCCTCATCCGACCAGAAGACCGATCTGCTCAGTTGTTCTTGCGGCGGGACGGTCCATCTAAGCCTTTCGATGTGTTCGTGATGGACGTAGCTACGTTCGGCTCTACATGATTGCCTTCTGCAGCACAGTTTATTAAAAATCGGAATGCTGAGGAATTTTCCGAACAGTTTCGACGAGCGGCGGATGCGATCACGAATCATCATTACGTGGATGATTTCCTGTACAGTGTACACACAGAGCAGGAAGCTGTTGAGCTGGCAGAGCAGGTGAAGCTGGTACACACCAAGGCAGGTATTAATATTAGAAATTGGCTGTCAAACTCGTGTGAGGTTCTAATACGGGTCGGGGAACAGTAAGCGGAGTCACCGAAAAAACTTCGCGTTGACAGGTAGGCTATTTACGAACGCGTTCTTTACATGCTCTGGAAGCCAGAACCTGATGTCTTCGTCTTCAAGGAGGAAATACAAGCTCTTTTACTGGATGACACGGTTCCGACGCAAAGAGAAGTTTTGCGGGTCATAATGAGCATCTTCGATCCCATTGGGCTAGTAGCTGTCATCGTCGTCAACGAAACGGTGCTCGTGAAACACATCTGGCTGTCAGGACTTGACAGGAAGGCGCGTATACCTGACGTACTGCTTGAACACTGGAAGACCCTAGTAGCACGGTTGTCACATATCGGTTGTAGAAACTTCTTTACGACTTATTTCAGTCATAAACAAGTTACTGCAACTTTTCTTAACGGAAGTGTGCTACTCGGGGAGATGGATCAAGTCATTTGCGGCTGTTGCGTATTTTCGAATCGTCGAAGGATCCATACCATAGAGATAACTCTAAGACCACAAGATCCCGAAGAAACGTTCTCAACTTTTTGGCTCAGCTCTGGTACTCTCTTCGGTCCCAAGCTAATCGATTCACCCCTCAAAACATAGGAAAATCCACTAACCCCTCATTTTATCTGTCAAACTTTCATAGCGAATCAAAACAAACATTGTGTAGTAGTAGAATTTCGACTAGAATGGGGTACGTTAATCGTTTGCTTGGGACCAATAGGCTAGTCAAAAAGTGAGCCAGTTTAAAATCGTTAGTTTCGTATTGATTGTTGTCCATACTTCGTTGCTCCCTAGTGTCGGCGAAAATGAAGGTTGCGCCTTTGAAACTCCTGTCTATTCCGAGACTAGAACTTTCAGCAGCCTTTCTCGGTGCAAGGTTATCGAAGTCCGTGATTGAGAATCATTCAATTATAATCAATCGAAAAGTGTTCTGGAGTGATTCTCGCTCCTTTTTTCCTGGATGCGATCTGATCCTAGAAAGTATCGGCAATAAGTTGCTTTCACGCTGACGGAGATCCACGTTGGGTGCCAACCCGTTTGAACATTACCGACGAGGCTACAAAGTTGGGTAACAACTCAAATATCGCCTCCGACAGTCGCAGGTTCCATGCGCTATCGTTCCTCTATCAACATCCGGATATGTGGCTCCAGCAAACAACGAAGGAGGTGGAGACAATGGAAGAACTTCGTCCGGTACATTGTAACATTAGAGCATGTCCCATTAAATTAAAATATACTTGTTATTGTAATTGTTTGTAAGATAGGAGCTAGATCTAGAAATTGTTAGAATATTTAAAATAAACTCGCCTATTTGAGCGCCGTCCGCTACCAAAACTGCTCGAGTAGACGACTACCACCCCTTCTCAACGGTTGGCAAACGTGTGTGGAAGGAAGTTCAGTCCTCCCATTGCGAGCGACGGAGGAGATAAATAGGCTCCCGACCGCTTGAGGAGGGCTCTTTTGTGGAAAACCTTGTGACCGTACGGACGCGCAAAATTATACAGTCGAGATAGAAAGTATAATACGGATTTTTACCTTTCGCGTGTGTGACGCCGAGTGTGGCGAGTGAAACGGCCTGTAACCTGGCCAGAAGATCCTAAAACCAGTCTCGGTAGTGCATAACTCTGGTGTTCGGACGAAGTGTGCCGAAACCTACACGTGGCGTGCGTAGTATTTGCCACCGAGCTGGTGCACAGTCCTAAGTTCGCGAGTGTCCGTCGGTTGTGTGGTAGCCGAAGGAGTGAATAATTGCCTCCTTCGAGCTCCTAGTGTTGGTCCGAGAAGCCGGAAAAGAACAGGCCGTTAGAACGGTCCACATTAGTGCGCGAGTGGTGAAATCAAATTTCGTACCTCTGTCCGAAAAGTGCGCCGCAACCAAAAGAAGTACGCCTAACCACGTGTGCTCGCAGGATTCCTAGGAGAATCCCTGCCGCAATTGCCCCGACGCCTGCGACGACGCAGAGAGCAGCGAGCGACGGCGCGGGCCCAACGTAATCTCCCGATCGACAGAGTAGGCAGCCCCTGAGGGAAAAAGGTAAGTTGCATGCTACCTTCCTAATGTTATAACATCTCCATCAGAATGTCGTCGAAAATCAGCTGCTGTAGTTTGATAGATTCTCGAAATGGGAGTGCCTGGACTTGACGGTAGTCTACACACGCAGTTTCGTTGACATCCTTCGCTGCAGAATCAATAAGCTAGCACAAGGAAAAACGGAGTTCCAGAATCGAGACGAAATACTCAAGGCGGAGTCAACCCTTTTCAAGCTGATTCAGTTAGAGGCCTTTGGAGATGAGAAATCGAGAACTTTCCGCTGGAGAACAAATGAAGATCGAGAAAACTAGCAAAATCTTCAAACTTTCTCTCTTCCTGGAAGAAGAGGATGTCAAGCGGATGGAAGCCAATTGCAAATGCTCAGCAGGTATCGGTTGACTTCAAGTTTCCCGTGATTCTGCGCAAAGAACACAGTGGAACTAAACTCCTCGTCGAATGGTACCATCGGCAGTACAAGCACTGCAATGCTGAAACAGCGGTGAACGAGATGCGCCAAAGGTTTCACGTGTCGGAGAAGAGGGTTGCCTTCAAGCTAGCCAGAAAGCAGTGCCAGTGCAGTGATGCAACATCTACAAGGCGACTCCAGAGGTTCCACGAATGGCTCCACTGCTTCAAGCTAGGATGGTGTCGCACGTTCGTCCTGTATCCTATGTCGGCGTGGACTACTTCGGGCCAATGCTGGTTAAGCAGGGACGCAGCGTTGGGCTGCACTATTCACCTGCTTGACCATACGTTCAGTGCACCTCGAGGTGGTGTACCACCTGACAACGGAATCCTGCAAGATGGCGGTTGAACAGTTCATCGCACGGAGGGCCCCCCCGCGGGAGATATTCAGTGATCGGGAAACAATCTTCGTGGGCGCTAGCCGCGACCTGAAGACAGCAACCTTGCCGGTACAGACACGCTGTGGCGTTTCAATCCACCCTCCACGTCACACATGGGGGGGGGGGGGAGCATGGGAACGTATGGTCCGATCAGTTTCGTGCTGTTACTTGACTATCGGGGCAAGCCGGAAGATGATCCGGGTCCGGATCTCGATCCGGAATGGTTGGCTGAGAGAACGAGTGCTACGTGTGTTTCCGGGACATGACGGCCGGGTACGGAATGCAGAGGTATTGACAGCCATTGCAGGAGTGCTGGTTCGATCAGTGGCGAAGCTGGCGGGTCTGGAAGTTGAAATTACAAAAAAACATTGGTTTTGAATGTTTTTCCCAGAAACGCATTATTTGTCTCAACAACTTTGTCCCAGACGTTATTTCGATCAGAAGTACTGTTTCTGTACTACTATTTATTGAAAAATTTCAAACACGTTATTTCCATGGCAGCAGCCTAAGGATATTGGTTTTCAAAGCCTGTTGTGTCAATACGCCCTGGGCGGGAAAGGGTTAATCAATTAGATGGATACAGAATAGTAACTAACACTAGAGACAATTAAAAAAAATCAGTACTAGCACTTACCATACAATCGTATGCTGCTGTCTACCTCGCCGAGCGAGTTCTTTGCAATACACCGATAGGACCCCATGTCCTCCTTCTGGATCGTTCGCACCGTCATGGTCATCTTGATTTCGTATAACGATTTGGGAATGTCCTGGACCTGGTACTTGGGCGATGACACTATCATTTCTCCTTTGTGCAATGTGTTACGATAGCAAAAGTAGGCGGTGAAAAGAGAAATTGGTCCATAAAAATTGATCCGCAGAAAGGTGGCATGTCAAGTGGTTTTCGTTTGATGTCTTACCTGTGTCCTTTACCCAGTAGTTGATAGATTTTGGGGATGCCTCAACCAGACACTCGATGGACACGTCCGTCCCGAGAGGCGCGCCGACCAGCTGATTTGGCACTTGGATGACCGGATGAACTGCGAATGGAGAAACCGAAGAAGGTAGACAAATGATTAGGCGTCTTTTACTTTTTGTATAATTTAGGAGTGTAAGACATTGTTCCCCGACCCTTGAAAATCTACAGGATAGAAATAACCGTTTTTAAACATCATTCTCGATTGTTTTAAATTGTGGAAAGCTGTTTTTCAACTTGAATCACAGCAGTCCAGCAGCACCCCAGCAGTTCTAGTTCTCGCGGCAGAATGGGTAAACCACATGTTGTGTATGCCTGTCACGTATTCCTTGGGGACTCACGAACGACATCGCCGTCCTAGTCGTCTTGTGTCGTTCATCTCGGCGAAAATGTGAAGAAATGTTCGTTCGTCCGTCCACAAGAGGGAGAGAAAGAGAAAGCACAAGGTGACACACATCGAGCACACGTGTTAGTGTGCTAATTTAATACAATTTAGCATTTCCAGCCCGATGGTGACGACGATGGAGGAGAGCAAGCAATAGTGTGGTCGTTAATGTTATGAAAAACACAAATCTGCTCGTTTTCGTTTGCCACACGTATGCATGCAAATTGTGGGGTCGCTTGCAGGCAGCTAAAGTTGGGTGGCGTCGTTAAGAGGTGACTTGGCATCGGTTATGTTGCAATGCAACATGCTGTGCTTGGAAATCACTTGACGTGTGATGATGGTGTTTAAGGTGAAAATTCACTTTGTGTGTTGTCACGAATTTGTGAGAGGGTTATTCGAGAGTTTGAAGCATAATTATGGCCTATGCAATTGCAACACATGTCAGTTGAAATTTGATAGCATAGCAAGCATTGCAGTGTGCCAGGAATGAAAACCAGCAGGGAAAACATAATAACGCTCTAGGATTGAATCCAATTGAGTTGACATCTTTAGCAAAGTTTCTTGACTTAGTTAGGACCATGATTTGGTGGATAAAAATAGGTCATGTTTTTGCCATAAAGATGGCGCAGCGATACCAACTTTTTTTTATTTCGCACTAGAGGTTTGCTGTCTTGGGGAAAGTTAGAGATCGTAAAATTTTGTGAAAATTGGTCTATAAGACATTAAAGTTGTAGATCTTCAAACAACAGAGGCATACGATGTTCAAAAAAAAAAAATGTAAGAAGTTCACGTATTTAGTATTAAGTTTAATAAATTCGTTTGAATGAATACTTTTATCATTTTTTGTCGATTGGTTTTGGTGAAGTCAATCGTTTCCAGTACAATACTTTTATTTTTATAGTAATTAAAAATAAACATCTCATCAAATAAAAAAAAAAATCATGACTTTCTGAATAATTTTTCTATAAAATGCGCAAGTGAGCGCAAAACATCGAATAGAATTAATTAATTTGAGAAGACCATTTACATGTTGCCTGATTTCTTCCATTCCGCTTTTAAACGCTATGCATACCAGGCCTGAACATACTCATTACAGCTAAAATACTACTTTTCGAAATTATGAGATATTATAATAATAATTTGTATATGTAAGATGAGGAGGTAAAATTTGTGTATGGCACAAACAAATCTGTCAATTTCGCTTCTAAAGGGTGATACGGTCAAAATTTGGTCAAGGGAAAACGCGTGTAAATCGGTGAAATCGTTTATTTAAAAAATCGAATTAAATTTCTTTTTCAAGTTCAATTAGTATAAAATTCAGGAAAAATATTCAGTTAGGCTTCCGCTTTTCCAAATCCGAATTGCCGGGCCTTACGCTTGACCCCTGCCATCAGATTTTGTACAGCCACCTTGTCCACCTTCTTCGCCGCAGAAAGCCAGTTTGCCTTGAACTGCTGCTCGCCCTTAGCAGTTTTTTTGGTCTTCTTTAGGTTCCGCTTGACAATAGCCCAGTATTTCTCAATTGGGCGGAGCTCTGGCATGTTGGGAGGGTTCTTGTCCTTGGGAACCACCTGCACGTTGTTGGTGGCGTACCACTCCATGGCCTTTTTACCGTAATGGCAAGATGCCAAATCCGGCCAAAACAGTACGGAACAACCGTGTTTCTTCAGGAAAGGCAGCAGACGTTTATTCAAACACTCTTTCACGTAAATTTCTTGGTTGACAGTCCCGGAAGCTATGAAAATGCTGCTTTTCAAGCCACAGGTACAGATGGCTTGCCAAACCAGATATTTCTTTGCGAACTTTGATAGTTTCATGTGCTTGAAAACATCTGCTACCTTTCCCCTTCCTTTTGCCGTATAAAACTCCTGTCCCGGAAGCTGCTTGTAGTCGGCTTTGACGTAGGTTTCGTCGTCCATTACCACGCAGTCAAACTTCGTCAGCATCGTCGTGTACAGCCTCCGGGATCGCGCTTTGGCCGTCGTATTTTGTTTATCATCGCGATTTGGAGTCACTACCTTCTTGTAAGTCGATAGTCCGGCTCGTTTTTTGGCTCGATGCACGGTTGTAGACGATACACCCAGCTTATTTGCGGCATCTCGGAGAGAGAGGTTAGGGTTTCGCTTGAAACTACCGGCAACTCTCTTTGTCGTCTCAGCGGCTTCCGGTTTTCGATTTCTCCCCGATCCAGACTTCCTGGCTGTCGACAAACGTTCCCCAAACACTTTAATTACATTTTGCCAACTTTGCGTGCGAGTAGCTCGGATTTTCGCGATGCGCGAGCAAAATTTTGATACGCTGCTCTTCTTGCTTGGACGGCATTTTGACAACTGAAGAGTGAATTCCAAAATCAAAATAGGAGCAACATTCTACACACACACACCTTCAAAATGAGGGGTGTTCAGGTTTTTTAAATGTAAAATTGAAAGAAATACGTCAAGTTGATATTGACCAAATTTTGACCGTATCACCCTTTAGAGTGTCACAATTAGCGATTAAATATAAAGAATAGTACTCATGCATTACGATTACTCACTACAGCTAAAATAGCTAATTGCGAACCTCTAAAAGCAAAATTGACTGGTTTTATGTGTCATACACAAACTTTGACTCTTCTTCTTGCATTTTACAAAAAAAAAATTATTATTAAAATATCTGATAGTTTCATAATTTCGTACCGTAGTATTTTAGCTCTAATGAGTATGTTTAGGCCTGATGCCTACCCTAATAAAAATGGTGTGGTTAATTTGTTTGACGATCTGTTCGGGGTATCATCCAAACCATTTGCGGAATAGTTCAATCATTATAGGGTGTCCTAGAGTGCCTAAGCACGACTTTGAAACACCCCTGCTTGTGGGATCCTCGAAGAGTAACGTCCAGCGGGCCAATGCAAGAATGGGTCTAAAGACGTTTAAGAAGCAGAAGAAGCTAAAGCGGAGTGAAAAGCAAGCCGCATCCGTCAAACCGAGGGCTCGGAAGTTATAAGACCAATAATTGCTGTGCGGAAAATCGGTGTGTGTGTGATTATGGACGATGAATCATACGTTGAATTTGTTTACAAAACTCTTCGTGGTGATCAGTACTACACCGTTTGTGATGGCACAAGTATTGACGACGCGGATAAGTCGATTTTTACCGAAAAATTCGGTAGAAAAGCCATTTGTTAGTGTGGTATACTTTCCAAACCGTTTGTGACAACGGAGACAATGACAACCGATGTTTACGTGCTTGAGTGTTTAAACAAGCGTCTGTTACCTATGATCCGGAAACACGACGCCTCAGTATTGTTTTGGCCGGATTTGGCGTCGGTTCATTACTCCAAGGACACGGTAGCCTGGTATAATGCCAACAAGGTCTGCAAGGAATCTGCAGTGATAGTGAGTGCTGCACAATTGGCAAATCAAAGTTGGCACTAGTGGAGAATAGAAGAACTATGAGAGTGATGATGGTTTCAAAATTTTACACGGTGAGGTATACGAGTGCAATCTTAAAATGCTTTTATTTTACTTTAGGATGAGCTGGCGCTTTTAGTTTGAATTTTGTATGGGGATTTTGGATAAAATACATGAAAAAATGACACTCCTACACCCTATCGATCATACAAAATTTCGTTATTCTCGATTTGATTCAGATTTTTCAAACTTGTAATTCAAACAATGAATAACATATTTGCTTAAGACTGCATTATGAATCCGGTTAGTCTTTTGAAGATATTTGCTTTTGAATGTATATGAGCATTTTGTATATGAAAAATTCAATGTAATCCCCTATATAAACATTAAACAAAAAGCACGAGAACATGTTACGGTAAAACAGCTGAACTATTCAGAGATTAGTTATCTCACCTACTGATACGAGTCTGGATGTTGGCCTGTGTAAAATATGAACTTTTATTTTTTAGTGATAATCTAGCCTGTATTTTGTTGCAATATACGAACAAAAGCACATATAAATTCAAGAATGAATATCTCCATAATACTAACTTGAATCATGATGCTGTCTTCAGCAAAGTTGTTTAATATATATTAAGCTATATGTGCTGAAATTCTGAGCTTAATCGAGTTTGCTGAACCACATCAATCTATCCAGCGAGACAAACTTAACGAATTTAAAAGTTGATACGTGTTTTGGAATGTACCAATAGCGTACCTTCAAGGATTTTGAACGTACCTCAAAAGCTTCCCGGAAAACAGATTTCTACGGAAATATGACGTACCAAATGCGTACTTCACGAATCTGTAATTCATTTTTAACGTACCTCCTATTTTCACTTAAATGCTTTTAGTAAACTTTTTAAATCGGTTTATATATGAATTCTGGGCACGGAATCGAATTCCTCGGAAAATTTAAGCCCGATTTCATATGAAAAACATTATACTTAAGCGCATTATAGCCAATTTGAGGACCAAAATCAGTTTTTTTATTTGCATCCCTTAGAAACATACTAATTTCGAACAAAACCGTTAATTTCATGAATCATTATGGATCATTATCATTATTAAATTACCAATGATTTAAATAAAAATTATTATTATTTAAAAAAATAATTTTTTTCGATGAAACATTAGAGAAAATCTGATCAAATGATCAGATATCTTTCAGAAATTATTCCTGAGTATCTCTGGAACACTTTATGATCGGTCATGACCAACGGAATTCACTTTCTGATAGAAAAAACGAAGCTCTTACAGATGATGCATAAAAAACGATACATTTTTCTATATTAAAGAACCCAATTAACGGTTTTGTTCGAAATTAGTATACTTACTTTACTTACGACACCATAACTGAACGTCTGTTCAAGGTTGTCTTGAAATGTCTGTCCAGACGTGAATCCCTGGATCAGATCAAACAAGAATTGACAACATTCTTGGAGTTGAGCCAGTCTAAGTTATCAAAATTCAGCGAATTCAATGCCTTGGAAAAAGCTAACCTTATGCTTCATATCCGAGTGAAGTGGGAACACTTCAGGAAGGCTGGAGGAAATTTCCAGAACCTCACCCAGTGCCGTAAATGCCAAGGTTGGGGTCACGGAACATATAAAAAATGCTGCATGCCAGCTCAATGCTAAATTGTGGTGATTCCTCTCATGCAAAGGACGACTGTGCGATTCTAAGAAATTTATTTGTTCCAATTGTGGTGTACCAGGCCAGGTACTGATTTCTCTGCTGTTAAAAACGGTCAGCGAGGTACAAATAAATCATAAGCTTTAAATTCTTCATCTATATCTGCTGCTAACAATGTTCAGCAAGTAGCTTTGCTTCTTTGGCTGCTATTGCAGCTGGTAGAAATCGAAATCAAAAATCCAATTGGTTACCCATGCTGAATTTGGTTCTGCTCACCTTCCAGTAACTTTTAAAATATCCCAAGACATAATTTCTAATACCAACAACCAGGCATAGAAAATCATTTACATTCTTTTCATGCATTCATTTACATTCATTTGCCTCTAACTTTTTTATCAACAGCATTCCGCAAAATTTTGTTTAGAGCTTTAGAAGGTTTTGTTACTAGCTACAACTTTTGCTCATAACTCAAATCTGTATCTCTTATGCATCACGAATTAGAGTGGGCAGAACTTGTTACTGTTTTTCAGTGAATGTAAAATACATTCACTGAAAAACAGTAGTGGCTTCTGTTCGCTCTGGTTCGTCATGCATAAGAGATACGGATTTGAGTTGTTTACCAAAGTTGTAGGTAATAGCAAAAACTATAAAAGTTCTGTGCATCATTTTGAGGAATTTTGTTCATGAAAAAAGTCTCTTCTTATTTACAAAAATGGAAGATTTCTCCCAACGCTTCCAAAACTCAACTTATAATATTTCCACATAAGCCTAGTGCTTCCTTTTTGAAACCTAGTAGTAGTCACATTGTCACGCGAATTGTTTCAAATAAGGGTTTTAGTCCAATTATTTCTCACAAATGATTAATTCTACGCACTTTTGGAACTTTACATGGCGCACATTTCTGCTGAAGCAACAAAATTTCAATCTCTTTTTTTTGGGAACCTATTAGCTATTATCATTGCTCAACGTTGTTTAATTGGCAGAATGTTACTTCTGCCATCATATTGTCCTCCTACGGTGATAGCGATGCTTCAGCATGTGAAATAATTATTCGTTACCAACACCAACGCATATTGACGGAGTTCTCCATATAACGCATCTGCAGCCTTTCTACTGCCGTTGAAACACATGGGACGAATTTTGAACGGAAATCACACATGTTCTACATTTCATTTTCGGCACACAGGAATTGCCCAATGGGTGTCATTGACACTTTCACGTGGCGTTGGAAACTTTCTCTCCAAAAAGCATAACTTTTCAAGTGGCGGCCAGCAGCGCGCGGTGCGGTGGCATATGAAATTGCGAACAACACCAAATTTGGATCAGTGAAATGCATACGTTCTAAAATTGCCCGTTGGGCTTCCGCTGGCTGTGTTGTATATGTGACACTGTGGAATTCGTTTGTCTGGGAGTCAGTCGGCTAAACTATTTTCACCAAACACGCATAGTTGTACCAGTTGAATTTGACTTGGAATAGAATTTGATTTTAATTGCATGTCACACCGTCAAACTTTGCCTTGCAGCAACAACGGCTGCTGGATATGAATTTAGATGACAACAATGATGGGGAAGAAATTCACAACAAACTTCGCGATACTTACAGTGAATACTCAGCGATATTCTCTTGGACACCGACGGGGGCACACCGTTGGATGCAATACATAGATAGGACCCCATCTCGCTGCGTGATATTTTCACCAGCTTCAGCACCTCGCCTCGGTAGGAAGTCACTGCAAGAGAGAAAGAGAGAGAGAGAACACAATATATAGCAACAAAAAGGTGAAAACAAATTACTTCCTACATAGTTTTCTTTCGTGTATTCTATTGTTCGTACAAGCGGTGAAAATCACGTAGCTTCAGCCAGTAGCTAACCTAAATAAGCGTTCCATTTTTTTCCTTTTTTTCTGGCATCATCCCCAACTCAGCAATGCTGGGGAAAATTGGTAGGATTACACATCCTCGGATCGTTAAGCCCCCCTCCCTTGCTAGGAGCACTAGTGAAAGTGATATAAATCAAAAATCATCCACTTGTATCCATTTGTCAAGGCTGGGGTGGTGCCGTTACATTTCCTCCTCAAGATGGTGGCGAACATTCGACAGACACGTTAGTGTCGAGTTACGGCATTCCGGTCGTCTTCTACGCACAAAGTGAGCTATAAATTATTGGAACACCAGGAGAAGATGCTGGTGATTGGTACTAAGTGAGTAGGTCTTAATCAAACTGTTTGATATTGGAAAGATCAGTGTGTAACAGCAACTTCAAGTTTTATTAATTTCATAACCTAAGCCTCTTTAATAGTATGGGCTCTATTGTACAAACCAAATTATGAAATGTTTTATTTTGTCACACGATAGGTTTCTAGCGTAAAAAGAAATTAGCCGTCTCGGCCACACAATTTCATCGCTTATGAACAGGGGAACTATTTGAAAAACTTGAAAAAGAATACGAAGGCCACGGAGTGCATTTTTTCCCTTGATTTGTTTTCCGTGCTGTGCACCAATGCTACCAATCGACCCATCAACTCATGAACCGGGGACGAACGGGTTTACTTCCCTTCCGAAGGAAGGCGTGATCAGAGATGTTGTGCCTCAGAACATCCCGGCGGCGCCGACTGGGATTGAACACAGGCCTGCTGGGGTAAGAGATAATCACGCTTACCACTACACCACCGGCGCCGCTAACGTGGAGTGCACTGTAATTTGCAATTTTTCAGAAAATTATTCACTTGTTGTACAGGAAGCTGTGCAATATATTATAATATATTATACGGACGAATCGAACAAATTAAAAATTGCAAGTTTTGTAGCAATTGCAGAGTTTACCAACCATAATCACGTTGCTGTCAGCTTATTCATAGTAAGATTTATAAACTACATAAATTGACTGGTTTGCAAAAGATTTACGCATTTTAAACAAATTGAAAGAGCGGTGATAGAGTGTTCGTGAAAGGGATTGAAAGCCATAATGAGGTTTCGGTTAACTAGAAAATCGACGTTACTTACTTACATTGAAAGCGATGAGCAAAGCAATGACGAGAAGATCCACAGCCAGTCTTTCCTTCTAAACGTGCTTCTTTTTCATTTTTATTTCTTGCTGATAGTCTAGCTAGGCGTTATAGAAATGAAGCGTTGAACACGTTTGTATGAGAGAAACAAAACTCGAATTCATTTTAGTACTTCGGAAATGTAGAGCCCTGGTGGACGCAGCTCTTCGTCAGTAGTTCTTCCGGAGCCTGTTGAGACTGGCCACCCCTGTTGTTCTTGCCAAAGAAAATCTGGGCCCCTGAACCAGCGACTTTCTGCAGATAAATCTGGTTCGTCGTTGGTACGCACCACCATTCACTAATCTCCGTCGACTCTAGGATCTCGCTGGAAGGCGACGAATTGACTGTATCGCCGATGGTCAGATCCTTACCAACAGTGCACACCCTTGGAGTCCATCCAGAAAAAAGACCTTGATGGACAGAGATGACAGTATAGTGTCTGCAAGCCACGCGTCAAGAAGGGCCGCTTGGACCTCAGATCGCGGTATTGACAGGAACTTCAGTGGAGCTACTCTAGTTTTAGCTCGCGCTAAAGCACATTCGATCGTGTCTCCCTCAGTGAATCGAAGGTAGATGACCGCTGTAAACCCATTCTCACTGGCTTCGACGAACGTATGCATCTCTATCTTTGCTTCAACGGATGTCAAGGATCGATAACATCGGGAAATTTCAACGGAACTCATCTGTGGAAACACTGCCAGCCATGTCAACCATTTTTCGAACTGCGTATCTTGAATCGGATCATCCCAGCCGATCACTGCCCTCCAAATCTCCTGCAGCAGCACCTTCAAGAACATCAGCAGATGTGAGATAAATCCCAAGCATTCGAAGAACTTCTCGGGCGACGGCTTCCGAATAGCAAAGTTTCGTCGTATCGGGATGAAACCTTGTAAGTGTAACGATCTGTTAAGGTGTTCCACCATATCCCTAGCACCTTCTCCATTGTTGCTTCCTCATCATTTTTTAGGTTTTTATCCTCGGTTGCTTCACCTTTAAGAGTTGCCTGATCCATTTTGGAGTTCGAAATCCAGTTTCGTATCTCGAACCCGCCATATGTACTGATGAATTTCCTTAACCTCTTGCGCCAGTCTCACAGCTTCCTGTTCCGTTTTCGTGCTTACCAGCATGTCATCCACGTAGTGTCGCTTGATGATGGCGTCGACTGCTTCTGGGTGGTCCTGTTCAAAACGCTTCGCATTAGTGTTTTTGACGTGTTGCACGATGCTCGGTGAGCAGCAGGCTCCGAAGGTGATTACCTAAATGACGTACAAGCTGGGTTCTATCTCGTTTTCCTCTAACCAGAAGAAGCGTTTGCAGTGTTGATCGATATACCGCATCAGAATCTGATGGAACATCTCTCTGATATCCCCGCATACGGCCACCTTGAGCTCTATGAAGCGAATTAATACGGACAGAAGGACCGAGTTGAGAGAAACGCCGCAAACCTTGGCTGCAGTATCCCATTTTACACGACAAATATCGGAAGGTACCAGACACGTGGATGTGGCTCGTGGAGTTTTTCAGCAGTCAACTTCCTAACATAGCCCTTGCTGATGTGTTCCGGCATCTTCGACTTCAGCGCGTCCGCTAAGGCTGGATCCTTGATCATCCGATTTTCCAGACACTTCCACCGCCGGAGGGCCATCGCTTTACTGTCCGAGAGTCAGACATTCTCGTACTTCCATTGAAGACCACATCTGTAACGGTTGTCTCCTAAGCGGGTTAGAGAATCCAACAGGGATCGGGATCGCTGTTCTTCCTGTGAGAGCAGAAGCTTGTTTGGTTTGACGACCCCGAGGCTGTCAGGCGTGATGTAGGATTTTATCGCTTTGTGGAGATCATCATCATACTCCCGATTGCACTCGCAGGTTTTTACACTGTGGTAGTTCAGGTATCCGGCCACCTCTTCCTTTCCAGTACAGTTGCCTAAGCGAAACTTCACCACGATTGGTTCATTCTGTTTTTCCTCCCGGCTCTTGATTCCGAGTTTGGCGCTGTTTAAACCGATGAGGATTCGAGGACTGATGTCTTCGTACACTTCGAGCGGTAATCCACCTAGGTGCGGATAATGGTTCTGCATCTCGGACAGCAGCAGCGTTTGTGGACGAATTTGAAGAGAAGACATGGTGTACTCCCGACAGATCGTAATTGTTTGAGATTCGCGCACTGGATATTTGCAGATTCACTTGCTGCGACTCGTTTTCCACCCTACGGGTTCCGCCAGTCCATTTTAGGTACAACGATTTTCTCGGCCCCTCGACGCACTGCCTTTTCCGGTCCATATAGCACAACAGGAACGATGCGGGATAACACTGCCGACTGACTTTGGTGGACGTTCCAGCTCCTCTCCGGTCCTTTCGGTCCAGACGGAGAAACCGTAGATGATTATGACTTCGATGGCTTAGGGTCGTTTTGCTTCTCTAGATTGTGGAGCAAAGGATGATGCAGGAATGTACATCCGTTAGTACCGCACTTTTTCTGTTGCTCGCATGTTCCGTTATGTTTTCGAAGACACTTGCGGCAAAGCTTGCACTCTTTCACCGTAGCCCACTTCGAATCGTAGCTCAATCCCTCGAACCTGTTATACTTCACAACTGACGGACAACTTCCTTTGCACATCAGTGCTTAATCGGATCCGTCGGAATGGACGACTTTGGTTTGCTAGACGTTTCGATCGATTTCGTGGTACTCGATTCTGACTCGGAGAGATGGCTAAAAATCTCTTAAATAAAGATAAAAAAAAAGATTCTGACTCGGAGTGGAAGTTCAGGAACCCATCCTTCTTGGTACTCCGCCTTTGTCGATCGCGTCCTGTAGCCACCATAACGGCGCTTGCATCTTCCGCTACTGCATACAGTCAAGCACTGAACGTGGCGAGATTCGAATTAGGGTTGGTCCGAGCATACATCGCCCAGTCATAGCTTTGAAGAGGACGGCAGCGGCTCTAATAGCTCGTACCGAAGAGATGCGTTGAAGATAAAGTCGTCGATCTCACATGCTCTGATAGTTGCGACCATATTCTTCACCGATAATGCAAAATCCACCACTTTCTCAAGCTTTTCCGTGTTAATGTTGATGCCTCAGTCGTCTTTGGAAGCATAACACCACTTTGGCTCTATTTCCATCGCAATGCTTCATTCGATATTGGTATCGTCTAAGTAGTTCAGTTTCGGCCTCTCGAGTGGATATGGAATTTTGGGCAGATCTCCACAACTTTCACGACCAACACTACGCTTTGATTGTCATGAAAGGCTTCCAAAATCATCTATGGTTCTTATCGGAATGGAACGTGGCCCTTGCTTTTTTCGATTCAAAAGTTGAAATCGACAAAAGAGTAAAGCTACCATGCATATCTTTTTCGTAAAGTCTAATGTTCAGCCTACATTTTTTCCTATACGATTTTGCTCTACAACTTGACGTTTTTCCAAGTAGGATTGTTTGAATAATTTGTGCGCCAAAACAAATATGTTCTTGTGAAAAATTACGCTTGTTTCCAAATGACTCTGTGCCTGGCTCTGTGCAAAGTTTCATCCAAATCGATGATTTTTTTGCGGCTTTCCTCCATGCTGAGTGTACCCCCATACACAACGTGACTGTCTCGCACAGACAGCAGCAGGCGGCAGCTGGCAGTGCTGCTAGAAATAAAGAATAATGAGCAGTTCGTTTGGTTAGCAATTAGTAATGGC